GTGAACCTAAACCCCGGGCTCCAGGATGGGCTATAATCCAGATTTTCCCAACTCTAGGGGTGTTCCTTAAGCAGAAGAATTTACTATTTGGTCCAGGTTATTGAGAAAGTACCTACCATGTCCTGGGAATACAAAGTCCAGTGAGATAGGGACTCTGCCGTGAAGAGTTATCTGCTACAGCCGGGGACCTGCACTCTCTTCTCCTTCCTGGGAACCTTAAATGCCAGGGTGGTGGTGGTGGTGATACATAGGTACTTATGCAGTGTTCAAATTCCCAGTGTCCTGGAGCTTGGGCTAGAATCTGGATTTGGCAGGTCGTCACAGCAACATAGGCTGGGAGTTGGCAAAAACGCCTGCTCCTCCAGGTAGGTTTTAAGCCTGCTTTGGGGAAAAAGGGGTTATTGGGCCTTTATAATCGTGGTTTTTTATTCCCTCCATGATTATTGTGTGACCAAAGGAGCAGTCACAGGAGCACCTCTGGAGTTCGGGTGAGAAACATCCCGGAAAGAACGACCACCAAGATAATGGCTCAGGCGCCCATCCCTTGCTCAGAGCAGTCCCCCTTTCTGTCTTTCTCCAGCTTGGTCAAACTCTGCCACCTCTCTCTGCCTACCTGCCTGGCTCATCCCTGCCTCTCGCTCTTTGCTTTTATGGTCTGCAGTGCTTTCCTTTCCTTCTTGGTCTTTCTCCAGCCTCACCCTTCAAGGCTAAGATTTAGCCCTGCCTACTTCAGAAAGGTTTCCTAAACTCTCTCAGCCAAAACTCCCCCTCTTTTTTCCATATGCCTCCTGGGTGGAGAGCCAGCAGCCCCCAGTTTGGCATTTACATGTTATGTAAAGTGTTTTGAGCAACAGGCAGCAGAGCAGAGACTGGGACTTTGAAGTCTGGTGGGTCTGGGTGTGTGTTCTAGGTCTGATTCTTATGAACTGTGTCATTTGGGGTAGATGCTTTGATTTCTCTGAGTCTAAGTTTTCTCATCTGAGCTTGAGGATGTGCCTGTCTCACAGGCAGGTTGTAAGATCTGGTAAAACAATCCACACAAAGCAGTTAGCACATACTTCCTGGCTCCTAATAAATGGCTAACACATGGCAGCCTTTGTTAACTATTTGAGATGTATTATTTTATTTAATCTACGCCCTAGCTTTATAAGGTAGGCATCGTCGCCCCGAGGTCTCAGGATATGCATGCAGTGAGGCTCACTTCCAAGCCCAAGTGCCAGCGGTCCCTGAAGTAGCATTCTTTCTTCTGCTGCCTCTGCTTCTCAAGTTCAGACCCCTAGTCCCCACGATTTTTGGTATTTTTCATAGTCTTAGCTAGATAACTTAGCAAATGTTTATTAAATGATTCTTCCTGGCTAATTTGATGGGAACCAGGAGGGCAGGAAATAGGACCCACTCAAGCGTTCCATCTCCTTTCAGATGTCTAGCTGATCCAGCTTGTCTACAGGTCCCTGCCAGTATACTGCATACCATTCCAATACCAGGCAGGGCATGGTGCCTTATTGCACCCAGTCAGGGAGGAGGGAAACCAATTCATGCCTTGAGGGCAAATCAGTCCACTCCTTTTAATTAATGTATTTATTTTTGAATAGCAGAAAATAAACTTTGAAAAGAATAAGAAAAGTAAGGGAAATACATGCTTGGATAATCCCCCATGACTGGGCAGCCACTGCCTAAACCCAGCTGCTGGAAAGCAAACAGAAAAGCCGGTAGCTGGCAAGCAAGCTCTGGGTGGCCTGTGGCGTTGTGAAGTGTGTGTCCTATGAGGACCAGTGAGTGAGGGCCCTCAGGAATGGTTTACTGAGCTACCCCGTACCCGTGGATGCCACTGGGGCCGTGACAAGGCTGCTGCTCTTCTTGACATTATTGTAGTCAGGATGGTTTTCACATCATCTTAGATCTTGGTTTTCAGTTTTTCTCCAGCAAATGTTGGAAGCTGCCACTTCCTTCTCCAGCTGAGTCTCCTTTGGTACCAGCTGATGTTTGTGTCTGCATAGTCCTCATGCCAACTGGTTATTTAGTTTATGTCTGTGTAGACCTTGGCATTGAGCTTCCAGGGGCCTGGGGAAGAAGACGGCTGGGCGTGCTGGTTCATGTGTTCACCCCACGGCTAATGCTGCAGGAGGTGAAGGAGGTGACCTGTGTGTTTTGATTCTTTGTTTTTGCTACCAGGCCGGGGTTTGGTTTTTGCTTTGGTTTCGCTGCTGCTGCTGCTAAGCCACTTTAGTTGTGTCCGACTCTGCGACCCCATAGATGTCAGCCCACCAGGCTCCCCCATCCCTGGGATTCTCCAGGCAAGAGTACTGGAGTGGGGTGCCATTACCTTCTCCGTTGGTTTCTCTAAAACTCTTTAAAACACGTGTGGAGGTGGAGCTTCTTTCTCTGGAGTGAATTAAGAGGGTGCTGTTAGGAGGCCTGGGGGTATAGGGATAGACTCCCTTTGGGTGCTGGCCCAGGAGGTGGCAAGAACGTGAGACAAATTAAAGATGACGTTGTTCAGCCCATGCTGTGTGTCAGGCACTGTAGCTGTACCTGTGGAGTCAGAATCTCTTGAGAAGAGTGACAGAAAAATCACCCCTACCCCGGAAAAAAAAAAAAACAGAACACTCCATGGGATTCTGACAGGCACATCCTGTTTAAAGCCCATGGATACATTCCGTCTTGTTACCATCACACTGGAGCTCTTGGAAACTGAAATAACTGATGCTCAGAGGAGGAAACAGCCAATTTGCTGCCTGTCCTGTCAGTGCCTGGGGGTCTGTCTCTGGGTGGGGTAGAGGCTAGTTGTAGATGGGGGTGCTGCAGCACATCCCGTCTCCCTTGGCTGGGTCTAAGCACAGGTGTGAGTGGCAGCTGATGAGCCTGGAGGCAGAGGAGGCCTCAGGCTCAGGGATCAGAGAGTGCTGAGGAGGCAGCGTGACGGGTACCCCACGCAGCGGGCGCTAGCAGTGTGACCTCAGCCAGTTAGTTACTGATCTCTCTGAGCCTCAGTTTCCTCACCTGGAATGGATTGGATGAGCGTCCAGCTCCTAGGGCCATGTGAGGTTAGATGCAATCATACCAGCAAAAGTCATTTAAGGGCTCAGATGAGCTAATTTTTCTTCCCTCACTTGTCCTCTAAAGGGATTGTTTCAAGTAGCTGCCCGGATGTTTTCCTGTATCACTGTGAAGCCAGTGGAAATAAGCTGTCTCCTTCCTTCTCTTCTTCCCTTTCCCTATTGCTCACGGCAAGTGGGACCCACATCTGAGGCTGGGTTCCCAGCCCGGGGCCGCAGGGCCGGGCTATTCCTCTTTTTGGCTCCAGCCTCTTCCTCTCCCAGGAAGGGCGTGGGTCCAAGGGCTGTGGGCAGCTCCTGTCACTTCAGTTTGTGGAGATGCCTTGCTGCCCATGCTTGCTTTTTCTTGGCTGCTTCAGTCTCAGAGTGTGGGTGGGATTTAGTGATGATAAAGCAGCCAATTGTTGACTGCTGCTGTTAGTGGGGATTCTTTGGGTTTCAAGTGATAGCAACCCAACTTGAATGAGCTTAAGCAACATGGAATATGCTCGAAGGTTCTAGCAGAGGTACAGAAACTCAAAGGAGGCACTGCAGAATCCAACCCCAGAAAGAGAACAGGTGATGTCCAGCATCCCTGGACCAGCATCCCCTACTTAGTTTGTGTCAGCAGGCAGCTCCCAGCTGACTCCACACAGCCCTGCATGAGATCCAAGAGGATCAGGCTATCCCCAGGACTTTTTAGATTGGATTGACCCAGTTTGGAGTGCCTGCACACACTTTATACCTAAGAATGTGGCCAAGAAAGAAAGATAGTCTGATGAACCTATCCTGAGTCCCACACCTTTCTTTTAAGCTGTTGAGTGAGGGATGGGGTGGAATCTATTATTGGAACAAAGTAAGAAGGATGCTAGAAATATTAATAATTAAGTATAAGATGAACTTTTATTGAGTGCTTACTTTGAAACAAAAGTTATTCTAAGCTCTTTAGTATAGAACTCATTTAATCTTTACAATCAACCCTATTTTATACACCAGGAAGCTGAGGCACAGAGAGTTAAAGCAATTTGCTAAATTCACATAGCTAGCTAGTAGGGGAACCTGGATTAAACCCAAGCAGAGAACTCCAGAGGTGCTCCTAACTGCCACCTCTGATGCAGACAATACAAGATACAGATGCCATCTCCAATCATTTATTTTTGTTGTTCTGTTGCAAACTTTGCACTAAATGCCAGACTGTGTCCTTTATGGCATTATCTCATTTCATCTTCTGAACAGCCTTGTTGAGTAGGTGCTAACTTTATCCCTACTTTCAGATAAGAAACAAGCTCACAGAGATTATGTGACTCGCCTGGGGCCACCTGACTAAAGTGACAGAGCCAGGATAGGAATTCAGGTTTACCTGATTCCAGAGTCTGAGCTTGTGCCCACTTTGCTGGGTAGCCTTTGTATTCAGATATTCTTCTTGCTCTGTCAGGTGCTCCCCTGGTACTTGGGGTGAAGAGCAGTTCTGATTCAGCATCTGGGCCTTCGTCCTTTGTCGCCAGAGGTTGGGGTGTGGAGACCTCTGCTTGGCACACACTGCGGAGGGGCTGGCTTTGTGGTTCTGAGCTGATTTTGGTGTGTCTCACACTAACTCACACCGAAGGATTCTTGAACAAGCCCTCAGTGCACCTAAGCTCTGGATGTTTTCAGTCCTCCATTCAGCAAATACTCATGGATTGCCTAGGGGGTGCCAGGCCCTGTTCCAAGTTCTTGAGGTTCCTCAGTGAGACTCTGTGGAAGTAGGAAGATCCCCCGAGTTCCTCTCACATCTTTCGGGATCCATGAGGCTACTCAAGCTCGCCGGAAACCTTTCCTGTACCACCTAAGTCAGGCCCTCACAGGGGCCTGGAGACTTCATACTTCTTTGTTTGGGATTGGCATGATGGCAAATATGAGAGCAGAGATTGTTTCCTCACTCTGATTGATGACAAAGGGAAACGTGTCAGTGAGCAAGTGTGGGCCTGGACTCCAGCCAGCTCCACCGTGAGTCCCAAGCTGCCATGGTCGGTGTGGATTAAGACTGGGCCATCCCTCAGTTCTGCCGTCTGTGATGTGTCTGTATTACCTGCCTCACTGGGTTGCTGGGAGGATTATCTGAAATAGCACATGCTAACCACCTGTTGTAATGCCTTCCTGTAGGTTAATCCCTTTGCCTCCTCTTAACAACCAGCTAGTTTTGTAGGTCTCTCTAACAATCAGGGCCTCCTCTGGATGAGGGCAGTTATAAGGGATCCTTGATGAGGAAATTACCAATTACGTCAAGTTCTTCCTTTTGCCGCTGAGAAAACTGAGACTCCTCAAGGGGAAGAAATGTCCTTCTGATTTAGTGGTGCTAAAGGGAGCTTGAGGTGTGTTTGACTGTTGGTCATATGGAAGATACGAGGTGGCCCTTGGAGTGACTGGATCAACGCGTGTGCACAGGCCCGTGTGCCCAGGCCTGACTGGTGGTTAGCCCTTGTGGACTGGTCCCAAAATGCCTGGCTCCATTCAACCATGTAGACAGTCCAAGTAAAACCTCCTACTGTTGGTCTCAGCAACATCCCAGAGGGGAGGGGCTTCCATTCCTGGAATCAGGGGAGTTCCCTGGTTCTCAAACCTGACTTTGAGAATGGTGGAATTCTGCACCAGGGTGTCCTGCTCCTCCACCCCCTGTACCCAGAAACTGCAGGGGAATGGAGGAGTGGAGGCCTGCCCCTGACTTCTGGCTAGAGGCGGCAGCAGAGAGCCTGTAGCTCAGGCTAATAGAATGTGGCCAAGGCAGGCCAGCCTGTTTGTCAGCTGCCAGGGCTGGAGAGGTGTGGCTTGATAATGCAGATGAAGACAAGGATGATTGCAACTTCTTAATTTTTGTCCTTTTGAGGTGACCTCTTAGAAACTTGGAATTGTAAATCTTTAGAATTTTTGTAACTCTAGGCTTCATTTTCCAAACAGGTGTAGAAGCATTTTCTGCAGAAGAAAGGGGAGGTGACCAAATCACTTAGAAGTCAAAATCATAGTGTTTAGGAAACTCAGCCATGATCAGGTGGTCCACTTTTATGACTTCCTAGTTTATTCAGCATTTTGGACCCTTCTACTTTGGGAAATACAGCAAATTTTACATTGTTGACTTGTTACCAAGTTTTACACCACTTCGATTACTTTCTTCATATCTTAATCTTAGAAATTCTGGCATTTTCTATTTCTACTGAAGCAACTAATAAAGCATTCTTGGGAGTTTCCTGGTGGTCCAGTGGTTAAGAATCTGCCTTCCAATGCAGGAGATGTGGATTTGATTCCTAGTCGAAGAGCTAAGATCCTATGTGCTGTGGGGTAACTAAGCCCAAGTGCCACAGCTAGAGAGCCTGTGCACTGCAACCAACGACCAGCCCAGCCAAAATTTAAAAGAAAAAAAAAAGGCATACTTTTCCAGATCCATCTTATTTTCTCTGCAAGCCTTTGTGTAGAGGTGTGATAAGCTTTAGCATGCCCAGAAAGTAACAGACAAAAGATAATAACAAAAGTGACATGATTCCTTTCTTCACATGAAAACCTTAGAGTGCAAAGAGACATTCTCTGTCCATTTGGGACATTCTCTGCCCCAACTCTTGGGTAAAGTGTTACTACAGGGCAAAATATACAGCACATAGGACCTTTTGGTAGGAAGAAGATTGGAAGCTGTAATGTAAGATGATCTACTTGACATTAATTGTTGCACTTTGTTTTTAAAGGAAGATGGCAACCTGTGCATGGCTCATCCTGGGAGGAGCTGACTTCAGTCATCATGATGCCTAAGAATCGAGTAAGTCACAGTGGTTGGTCCTTTTCTGCCATTGAGTCGCTCTTGGCCGTCTGGCTTTGGATGCTTGCACTCTACTTTCAAGCCCCAGTGAATGTGACCTCCTCTGAAGAGACAAATAAGGCCTGTCTTTGCCTACCACGTCCAAGGCTGCGCAGCCCTCTCACACTGTTAGAGAAGGGATGGTGGCAGGTATTGAGACTGAGTTATGTTTGGGGACATGAAAAACCTGTGTGACTCAGTGAACTTCGGGTGGATGGAATCTGTCCCTCTTTCCCTATGTGATAGCAGCAGCCCACCATCCTGACTCCACTCCCAGCTCTGATGCTGTTTCCACCTCCTGCTGGGCCAGGTCTGTGCCAAGAAAAGAATCTGGCCAGGCAGCTTCTGCAGGGAGTGACTTCAGAGCAGGGTAGACCATTTGTCCAAGAGTTGGAAATGTGATCACAGCATCTTCCTCTGCTTGGGTTCCAGTCTAAGGAGAACAAACCTATTCACAACTTTCTGTAGATTCCGCAGGTGCATGGAGGCTTAGTGTCCAGAAGGCTCGCTGTAGGTGAACATCAGTAATGACTTGTTTGGTGTCGTTACCGTCATGAACTGTGTAAGAGCCTCCACACTATTTTCCTGGCTCTGCTCTCTGTCCCCCTGCTCTGTCCTCTTCAAGGCTACCTGTGACCTTCTTCGCGGATGTGTCTGCCCATCTCTCTCTCAATGGCCTTCGAGGCCACCTCTGGTCACTTTCCAGACTCATTTTCTGCCTCTCCTCTCTGCCCTGGCTCCTGTCCCACCATTCCTGGAATAGATCTTCACATCTGGGACACACCTTCCCTCTGAGAAGCATCCCTCACTCTCCCCAGCAAAGTTGGGGCCTCCTCCTCCTTTCCACTCTTGCAGTCCTTTGTTCAGACCTCAGGTATGTCACCGGCTGAGTTGAGTTTTATCCACCTGTCCATCTTCCCTATCAGCTGTAGGAGCCTTGACAGCAAGGACCTGTCCTCCAACATTCCCATCTGAGCTGGGCAGCAGCTGGGCAAGGGGGTGATACTGTTGACTCAAGCTCAGGCCCTGAGATTTCTTCAGGGCTTGATGGCTCATGAAGCCCTATCTTCTGTTTCGGGGGCGGGGGGCGGGGTGGCTTGTATCTTGGGAGGGGTTTATTTTACAGACATGGAGATTGAGGACTGAGCCATCAGACTGTAGGCTGTTAAGGTCCAGGACCCACACCTCCTGTGAACCGGGTTAGTTTGGTTTTTGCAAGCAAAATTTATAATTAGAGAGAACCCAAGAGGTTATTTAGAGCAAACCCCTCATTACCTGATAGGAAAACTGAGGCCTGGTCTGAGGATATTTTCTCAAGATTACATAACCAACTGCTGTCCAGTGGAGAATTGGGAGGCAGGCGCTAGATTTCCAGTCTGGCTTTCTCTCCACGCTCCCTCCCTCCTCCTCTGCCTCCCTTTGTGTATAGCCATCGGAGAATGTTTGGGGACCATCAATCGGTATTTACAGGAGGGTAAGGAACTTACAGAATACCCAGAGTTAGAGGGAAGGTAGACATGAGTAAAACTGGCCCTGCCTCCAGGAGCTTCAATGGGGTTGTGAGTCCAGGGGCAGAGACAGGGGACTGAAGGACCCGGTGGAGAGAGAGGGTGGGGGGCGGGTGAGACTGGATCAGGGTGGAGGCCCTTGTGGAAGGGCAGCTGGCAGGCATGGCCTAGTGGGCACTGAGGACCCAAGGGAGTGGAGGGGGTGGTTAGGTTAGGGTTAGGGTTATTGTAGGGGCGTCCACGTTGACATCCTAAGCAGCAGCGTGAGGAGGGGACCAAGGGGAAAGCTGCTTTAAGTTGTTCTGGTTTTTAGTGTCTGGGCAGAGAGGGCCTGATTAGCTAGCCTGCTGTGACTTGAGAATCCCTCCTGTTTCCTGGAGAAACACAAAATGTAGAGGGGGCCCGCAGAGGAGGGTCAAACGAACAGTGGAAAGAGAATTCCATCATTGTCTGAGATGTATATGGGGAGGGAAGCGTGTGAATTTCTGGCTGGCTTACACCTACTGTGCTCAAATGAATTTTTGGTTTGTTTCTGACTGACCAGACTTCCAGTTGGTCTTCACCCCCATCTCAGTTTTAGGGCTCTCCTGGAAACATTCATTTGGTTCAGGCATGATACAGGGCCAGGTAGGTCCTGCCCTTTCCAGTTTAACCCTGCCCCTTCTTGCAGCTTCCTGGGCATGCAGGCTGGGAGCCTGGGACTGACTGCAGGCTCCATCTCCACTGGCAGGTTGAAACATACACTTTGCCCAAATTACAGAGAATATGGTGTTTGCCAAATAGGTACCTTGGGTTATTTTCCAAAACATGACTAGGTTATAAACTTCCACAGGGAAAGGGAGCAGTGTTACATCATTATTGTTTACACTCTAGGTTTACATTATACTCCATTTCATCAGGACCATTTCATCTTTATAAAAAGGCAGGTGGATTTACTCCCATTTTGCAGATGAGGAATTTGACTTACACAAGCTATGACGTGCCCTGCATTAATGTAGCTGCCTATGGGCTGAACTGGGCCATAGCCCAGGCCTCCTATTTATAAATTCTCTCATCTTTCTACTCTACTAAGCTTCAACCATATGCAAATTTCTGAAGGACCAAGGACATAAGAGGAACTCAATAAATATTTGTTGAGTGAGTGAACTTTGGTTATTTCCTTTTTTAGGGGGTAGGTCACTCTTAACCCTAAATGGATCCTCTTTGGCAGCAAAGGAAACACTACCCTGTGAAGTATTTGAGTTTCTTACCATGATAAGAAACCAGTGAGTTCTCTTCTCACCCAGCCTCACCTCCAGGAACTGGGTCACACACACTGAATAATTAATTCCTTGAGTCTTTCACTCAGAGCTTCCTCCTCCTGATGCTGAGATGATCTGACCAGCACTGATCTGACCACCAGAGGCAGATCCTATTGTTTGTCATCATCAACCCTCAGAGGACCCATCTAATTGCTGATGGGGATTACTCTTGGCCTAATCAGGTCATACTTCCAGTGGTTTAATTTGATTTCCTCCTGCCCTTCTTCCCCATCAACCTCCCGTAGATGGAAAGAGAGAGATCTCTGTGGGTTATCTTAGCTATTTAGGCCCACCTCTCCTTTCTCACTCTCCCTCTGGACTCCCCAGAATTTTCTGGTGAGGGCTGGAGAAAGAACAGCAGCCCATGTCAGAGTTGAGAAGGAACGCATGGGATGGGGGTAGGGGACAGTTATCAAAATATCTGCTGGGCCTGCTCTTTCTCTGAGTGACACTTGGGTCATGTTTCTTGGCATCTACAGAGGATCCAGCTGGCCTCATTAGAGCAACCTAATTAGATCTCGAGGTCAACAGAGCCGAGTGGAAAAAAAGAGCGGGCTGAGGCCCAGAGACCCACGACCTGGTGCTGGTTGTTCACAGCTTAGCCATGTGGCCATGGGCCAGCCACAGAACTTCACCTGCCCTCAGATTTCTTATTAAGGAAGTGAGGGAGGCGCAGAGGGTTGTGGCATCTTAAAGGAGCCTTCTAGACCCCTGTGTCCCCAGTGGCCACTCTGCTTGTCCTCATGATCAGCACCGACTTCTCCTACAGGTTGCCACCTCCTCTGCTTGTTTCTGTAGGCATTTTTTTTCCTGGACTTTGAAGCGTTGCCACCTCTCCCCTGCCCCACCCTGAGATACGCCTGAGCGCAGATAAGAACTGCCTGTTGTTGCTCTAGACTCCAGCCAAGCAACCTGGAAGAAATGTCTAACCTTTCAAAAGCATGTTGGGACCTAGGGCATACAGGTTGGTAAAGTAGATGAGTGGGATTAATCCTCAGTGGAGCAAGTCAGGTCAGGTGATTTGGGCTTTTAGGGATACAAGAGATCTTGATGCCCCAAGGCATCTGTTCAGTTGTTTGACCAAAGGGTAGTAGATGTGTTCGTAAAAACATGGCTCCAAGCTTATCTTCTTCTTCCCTGGCCAGGGTTTGTGGTCAGAGGGGACCAGATACTCTGGAGTAATAAAGGTGATGGTGTTGATGAAAGGCTGCTGAAGGGGAGCTAAGAGATGTCTCAGATGAACAACTAACACAGAAAAAAGGCCAGGGTTGGGAGGGTGGATCTGTCTCTAAGGTTGATGATCTTCGGGCATGAATGCTGAAAAGAACCTACAGGTCATCTGATCTATTTCTCTGATTTTATGAGTGAAGATCCTGAAGCAGAGAGACATGACCTAACCAGACCCAGAAAGCAAGCTAAAGATGGATCTGAGATGCAAGCCTAGTCTCCTGATTCCCAGCCTTGGAATCATAAACCTGATACAGAGTGGCTCTTTCCCCAGCGCCATGTTGCCTCCTCTCTGTGGGTTTAGCCACCACCCTTCCCACTCCCCTCCTTGACCCTGAGCTTGATTGTCTAAGGTGTCAGCAGGGCCCCACTGCTGCCACCTCCTTGTTTATTGAGGTCTAGTAAAACCTGGGTGAGACTTCTGAGACTGCTGAGACTTCTCTCAAGCTGTTTGACTTGTACTTAGGGACTTAACACTGTTGGGTCATCACTCTTCTGTTTTATGTGGGTCTTGGGGTGAAAGATTAATGCATGACAGGAAACGAAGGACCTGATGGCCCAGCCTCAGCAATAGTGGATTCACGTAGGTTTACCATTCAGATAAAAATCAGCTTTGTTGCTAAGCACGCATCGTTCTGAGACTCTGAAGCTGAGGACATGGATCAAGTGCAGCCTGCACCGTCCCTTGCTCTTGACAGAGTGCACTTTGGGTTAGAGGCTGTCTGCCTGGCCGCTGTGTTGCTGGCGTGTGAACCAGAACGGAAGTCATTCACTTTTTTCTAGAGGGCTTCATTTGTCTTAGCACTTCCTGCTGAGCTCAAGGAAATGTATCATGAACTCCTTCCAGTGAGCAGGTGCTGGATTTACAGACTTTACCTTGTTTTTCCTCACCATGGTCCTCTGAGAGAAATAAGCATGGCTATTT